AATTCTGCTCTTTGAATTGAGAAAGCTCCTCGGATGAGGAGCGAAACGTCTTCTGTTACAAATAAAGTCCAGTTGTTTTTGTATTGAACGCTTTTTGAATTCATCATGTCCTGGATGACTGAGAATCTTCACCAGTAATCCTTGGCAACGTTATTCCCCTCACTCGAATAGACAAAAATCTGGTCAGTTAAAATAATTCTGTAACGTTTATTTTCAGTTTGGATAATGACAAGACGGCAAATATATGAAATATGAATGAATAACCAACAGTATATTTCAGAAGGTGAATGATGTAAATGGGCTTAACTTTGAGAAGTTACCTAAAATTTAGGACTAAAGTTTAGAATTTAGGTACATTATCTCAGATTCGTTAACTAAATTATGTCCAGGAAACCTCGCTGGCACTTAGTTGTTCTTCTCATCAGAAGAAAGATGTTCGTCCTACTGGGAGATGTCCATCATCTCATTACCCACGATGAATATGAGGCGGAAAGCGAGCCTGCCATCCCAAGAAGTGTTGATTTCCTCAGGACTGCGTTTCGTTCGGCAAGACGGCACCTTCGCTCCAGGGTTCTCTGAGGAAGTTGCAAAGACTTTTCTCCATCTCTCAGCAGAGTGGCTCCATCCACTGCATCGGATCCTCGTGGACTTCTCGGGCTGGCTCATTTCATAAATGAAAAACAAAAGCTTTCAGTTGTAGAAATGTGACCAAATAAAGTTTTTATTATTAAAAGCATTTTACAGAGATATATTTGGAAAGTACAATACAAAAAATACAAATATTCCAATTTAGCTTTACACAAGTTTTAATTGTTACTGCACAGACCATGGAGCAGTGTATAGTGTGACATGTCAGATTGTTAGCTCTAATTCAATAAATCAAAAACAAGTGACACAAAATTACATTTTAATAATGTGTCCTTAATATATTTTATAATGTGTCCTATATTATAAAATTATACTATTATATATTAATAATATATTATTACATAATAATAATAATTTATGTGTGTCCTACATATATTATTTTATAATAGAGGCAGTAAACATTTAGCATTAACATTTGGGTCACTTCAATTTAAAATGAGCAGCAAATAATAATAAAAGAAAAAAAAAGACCGAGAAATTTGTCCACAGAACTGGACCACACTACAGGTGCACGTCCTCCTTAAGGGTGGGACCCAAGTGTCAGACGTCACCTGAGCACAGTTATCTGTTAGTGTCAAATGCAACCATATATTTAAGATCAGAACATTCATATTTTATAGTGATGCCCAAATCTATTGTAAATTACAAACAGCATGAAAGTTTACTGCCGTGAACAGATGAAGTCTCAACTCAGCGTTGTGCTTGTTTGTCAGCAACTTGTGCACATAGTGGGGATCAGGACAACACACCTATCTGTTCTTCCTCACTGTGGTCTCCAACAACTTCTGTGGGACTGTTGCACGTGGCCATGAGCCCCAGGCCCAGCTCTGCTAGTTCCTCACAGCTCATGTCAGTCGTCACCATGATCTTTGTCTCCAGTCGGTTACACAAAGTCCTGTAGGAGGGTAAGGGGTACCCGATCTCTCTCAGGTACTCATAGCCTTTGGTTCCAATGGCACAGCGAATCTTTCGGGCTTTCAGGATAGTCTCTGGAGACCATACAGCTCGACGAGAGCGCTTGGTGAGAGACAGAGCCCTGATCTGGTCTTCAAACAGGAAGTTCTGAAGGCCCTTTTCAATCCGATCAAGTCGATTCAGGCGCCTCTTCATCTCTTCTGCCTGACAGAGACAGAGTTTGTTCAAGTTATCCACCACACAGTGACATAGTTCCATATCTGATTGTACTGCTCAGTCACTTTACATCAAAACGACTATGTCAGCTGAGCCAATAATGAATTCAAAACAGCACTAAATTAGGAAGAAAAAGCAAAATAATAATTATTAAAAAAAATACAACCCCCAATAAATCAGTGACTTCAGTTCCTTTATTTATACAGCTTAGTCTAATTGGAAACCCAACTGTCTCATTTGCAAGTGAGACCTGTTATATAAAAATAAAGCAATGCAACCAGTAAAATACATAGTACACCAGATAAAAGCAAAATACTACAGAAATCCTCCTACCTCTTTTTGCAGCCTTGCAGTATGCTTCACCTCCTGCTCCAGCTTTTTCTGGAGGAATTCACATTGTGCGCAGTGGTACTGGTCATCACCTGTCCCTTCTGCATCCTCCTTCTCAACTGCAAGCAGCGGGGTGCGTCTGGCATAGCCATGATCCCCAAAATTCAGGTCCTTTTCCACTAAAAATAAAAAAGAAAAACCTCTAAATGGCATTGTAGCTATAAACAACATGACAAAGATGTTGCACAGTGTCCACTGGACATTAGTTACTATTTCAGGTCTCTCTTGTAAATGAGTCCCGGAGGCTCAATGGGACTAACATGGGAAAAAAGAAAAGCTTGAAAACTATAATTATGGTAAATGGCAATCCAGATATCAGGACTTTCTTTAAGTAAATGCATTAAAAGTTTCATTTTTTGTTTAATTTGTTCTAAATGGATGATCTTGACATTATTTTTCTTGTGTTTAATCCTAAAAAATGCAATCTGATTTTGGCTACGAGAGCTCATAAAAATACACAAATTGATTTATTACTGGCTGGATCTCGATCAACCCTTTACGCAAAAGCTGATTTTTTTTTCATTAGATGTTTGATTTCACTAAAACAAATGTCTAACATTATTCATGTACGATTTGACACAAATAACATTTGAGAATATCCTGACGCATGCTCAGTAATCTAACAAGGTTCAGTCAGGTCCTCTGGACAGATTCACCTTTGTTCAAACATTTTGTCTTTGAATAAAAGATGAAATGTTTTGACAAAGAAGAACCCGTCCAGAGGACCTGACCGAATCTTGTTAAGATTCAAACAAAATAGTTTAACCCTCCTGCTGCCCTTGGTTCAAATGACTGTCAAGTTTTAAAACTGAGGCCACTTGGGCCATTTGACCAAGGGCAACAGGACATGTTGTGATATACAGTAGTCCTTAGTTTATTGCGGGGGATCCGAACCCTGAAGCCCCGCGATAAATTTCAGCTCCCGACCTCAGCTGCTCTCAGCCACCTGCAAGCACTTGGCCACGCCCACTTCTCCGTACTGCATGGAGAACAGCTGATAGCTGCAGCAGGAAGTTTATCCTGCAGTATGGGCTGCACAAAGGTGCAGCAGGTGCTAAATAATTTAAAATAATTCATTTAAAATAAAAATTTCATGTCGTGCATGCAGCTCATCCATCAATCAGCCAATTGTGTTTCATGTCCAGTCTTGTTTTGAAAAACCGCGATACAGCGAGTCTGCGATAAACGAACCGCCAAGTAGTGAGGGACTACTGTATATTATCAGTTTCATTACCTACTTTGGTGGCAAATGTGCCAAAGCAAATTAAACTGATGAAAATAAATTAGACTTTACCATCCATCCAAACATCAACCCGTTTACATAACCGCATTAAAACGACACACATTTTAATACCAAGTACAGTAGTCTCAAGTACAGTAGTATAGTAGCTGATACTTGGAGGCTCAACTTTTGAGGACTCACTGTTTCGCGGGGTTTCGACGCAAGATTGTACACGACACTCGATTGTCAACTTTAATATTACTCGTGATTAAGAATGTACGGGATAAAAAGTAGACTGGAGTGGGAAGCAACCTTTCAGACAGGTGCCGTCTAAAGAACTACACGGCACAGAAATGGTAAATGGACTGTACTTATATAGCACCTTTCTATCTTATCAAGACACTCAAAGCACTTTACACCACAATCTGTGCCCTCATTTACCCATTCATACAGCACTCTACTAGATCTATACCCAGCTAATTGAACAAATCATTCTAAAGAGACTAATCAGTGCTTTATCACATTCATACACCGATGGGACACACATCAGTGTGTATCATCAGAAACCTACATCAGAAGCCAACAGTGTTTCCGGCCGCTGCTTTCTGCCAAAATTCAAAGAACAGCAATGGAGGGAGAAAACACTAGCGAAGAAACCGATTTGGTAAAAATAGTTTTGTGACGCAAAGTCAGAAGTAATAATCTATCTATTAAACAGAACTGACAGGAAAGTCGCAAATAATCCTGAAGCTGAACTCATCCTTCAAGGTGTAGTAGTATCTTCACTGGTGAGTACCTATATAAAATGTTTGCGGTACTGTGTAGTACATATATGTATGTTGTTAAAATTATGTAGGTTTAAAAGTTTAGAACATTGTTAAGAACACTGAAAGACTGTGGGAAGAGTTTATAAAGCCTTAAAATACATAAATAAATACATAAATAAATATAACGTCCCTACTTCGTGGATTTTCACCTATTGCAAAGGTGTGTGGATGGAACGTAACCCCTGCGATTAGTGAGGAACCACTGTACAGGTGCTGGTCATAAAATTAGAATATCATGAAAAAGTTGATTTATTTCAGTAATTTCATTCAAAAAGTGAAACTTGTATATTATATTCATTCATTACACACAGACTGATATATTTCAAATGTTTATTTCTTTTAATGTTGATGATTATAACTGACAACTAATGAAAACCCCAAATTCACTATCTCAGAAAATTAGAATATTACTTAAGATCAATAAAAAAAGGATTTTTAGAAATGTTGTCCAACTGAAAAGTATGAACATGAAAAGTATGAGCATGTACAGCATCAATACTTAGTTGTTGCTCCTTTTGCCTGGATTACTGCAGCAATGCGGCGTGGCATGGAGTCGATCAGTCTGTGGCACTGCTCAGGTGAGAGCCCAGGTTGCTCTGATAGTGGCCTTCAGCTCTTCTGAATTGTTGGGTCTGGTGTATCTCATCTTCCTCTTCACAACACCACATAGATTTTTTTTATGGGGTTAAGGTCAGGCAAGTTTGTTAGCCAATTAAGAACAGGGACACCATGGTCCTTAACCCAGATACTGGTAGCTTTGACACTGTGTGCAGGTGCCAAGTCCTGTTGGAAAATGAAATCTGCATCTCCATAAAGTTGGTCAGCAGCAGGAAACATGAAGTGTCTAAAACTTCCTGGTAGATGGCTGTGTCGACCTTGGACCTCAGAAAACACAGTGGACCAACACCAGCAGATGATATGACACCCCAAACCATCACTGACTGTGGAAAGTTGACACTGGACTTCAAGCAACATGGATTCTGTGCCTCTCCTCTCTTCCTCCAGACTCTGGGACCTTGATTTCCAAAAGAAACACAGAATTTACGTTCATCAGAGAACATAACTTTGGACCACACAGCAGCAGTCCAGGCAAGATGCTTCTGTCTCTGTCACTTGTTTAAGAGTGACTTGACACAAGGAAGGCGACAGCTGAAACCCAAGTCTTGCATATGTCCGTGCGTGGTGGTTCTTGAAGCACTGACTCCAGCTGCAGTCCACTGTTTGTGAATCTCTCCCACATTTTGGAATGGGTTTTGTTTCACAATCCTCTCCAGGGTGCAGTTATCCCTATTGCTTGTACACTTTTTTCTACCACATCTTTTCCTTCCCTTCACCTCTCTATTCATGTGCTTGGACACAGAGCTCTGTGAACAGCCAGCCTCTTTAGTAATGACCTTTTGTGTCTTGCCCTCCTTGTGCAAGGTGTCAATGGTCAACTTTTGGATAATTGTCAAGTCAGCAGTCTTCCCCATGATTGTGTAGCCTACAGAACTACACTGAGAGACCATTTAAAAGGCCTTTGCAAGTGTTTTGTATTAATTTGTTCAATTAGTTTTGTATTAATTAATCCAGCCTTCATGCTTGCTCAAGATGAAAGTTCTATGATGGAGTTAAATTCAAAGCAGTCTGCTCCTCAGATAAAATCTTAAATTATTATTTTTATATATGGAAGTTTCTGTGAACTTATTTTACATATGAATATTTATGTTCAGTGTCCTGAGATGACTTCTGCTGTGACTTGGCGCTATATAAATAAACTGAAATTAATTAGCTGATTAGAGTTTGGCACCAGGTGTCTTAAATATTGAACCGTTTCACAATATTCTAATGTTCTGAGATACTGAATTTGGGGTTTTCATTAGTTGTCAGTTATAATCATCAACATTAAAATAAATGAACATTTGAAATATAACAGTAAATGTGTAATGAATGAATATAATATACAAGTTTCACTTTCTGAATGGAATTACTGAAATAAATACAATTTGACATGTTATTCTAATTTTATGACCAGCACCTGTATATCGTATTTGTGCTTGCTGAAATCTGAAGGAAGTGCAGATATTTATTGTTAGGTTTACACCTATAACATTAAGGATGAGGGACCCTTTGATTCAGTTCTACTTTAATAAATACCTGGTTCAGATTTTAGAGGAAGTATGATGAATGGAGAGGAGACTGCAGGGTAAGGAGGCTCTCCTTCATTGAACAGAGTGGGAATAGCGTTGGGCTTCAGCTTCTTCCCACCAGTTGGAGACTTGGCAATTTCTTCAAACTGGCTCTGCTCGAAATGATCCTTTTGATGAGACAGAAACACAAATACACACAGGCTCAACAAATTAATGACGACTGGGAGAGAAAAAAATATCTAGCGTGTTGGACACATTGTCCTTTTTTAAATTAGGTATATTTTTAAATTATGATGCTGTAAAACTTACTTGACACAGTCTTGAGTGAGCAGTTGGTTCGAAGTCACGTCGACAGTTCACCACCCATATCTTCTTACGCACAGGGTCTTTGGGAAACCTAAACAGCTGTTTACCTATGCTGCTTGAATTGGAGCAATTTGGAGCGGAACAGCCACCCATTACTGCATCGCAGTTACAACCAAGCAAACAGCAAAAGCACAAGTTTCACAAACGGTGAGTCGGCTCAGTTTGAGAATGTAACCAGCTTATGCGATGCAAAGACAAAACAAAGCTAGAAACACATTAAATGTTAGCCGGTGGAAACAAAACTGAACCAACACGCTTTTAATAACATACAATTTTACTGAGTTTGTTTGAGCCAAAATGGCGCACATCGTGTGGTCTGTCACTCGATCGTGTTAGATCTTGTGACGTATTTACGTGTGCCCTTGTAATTGCCTGATTTAAAAAAAATCTAATTAAAAATAATTAAAAAATGTTTTAATACATATAGAAAAAAATCAACACGTTGTATTATTTGTAAGTATATAAAAATATTTCAGTATTGTATGTATTTAGTTTTATTTTAGACTTGGCATATGGCATTTTCTTCCAGGACCCCGAGAAGCACATTGAAACATTTACGGTAGAATCTGTAGCGGTAGACTTTTAGCCAGTAGAAAACCTAACAAAGATGTTAACATTTATTTACTGATTACTTAATTACTGATCGTACAATGAAAAAATAGCTACCTAGCTAACAAGGACGCAATTAAAACTGAGAACCTTTACAAGGGAGCAATCCCCCTGTTGTTAGCTTAAAAAATAGCAACAACAATGTCGCTAACAGTTCCTGTAATTGACGTCCATAATGATAATTTCAAAGAGCTTTGGCCTGCTTTGATTGTTGCCATTAAAACGTCGTCCTTCATTGCTCTCGATACAGTAAGTGCTAGTATTTTTCTCCTGCAAATAAATGACTGTGTCTAATGAACGTGGTCCTGGTTTGTGTGTTTCTGATTTTTTGAGAAACAAATATCAAATGCCATAAGAAGTGCAGTAATATAACTGTGTTGCTACAGGAGCTGAGTGGTCTGGGCAACAGAAAGTCCTTGCTGGCCGAGTGAGTACAGACATGTCACATCATCAGATTTGTGTCCAAGGTTTTGTCTGTTCCATGCTCGTCCCTCAGCTGTGTTGCTGCCCTCACACCTGCTGCTCTGTTTCAGATCCATAGAGGACAGATATAAGGCGATATGTAATGCTGCTCGCTCTCGCTCAATCCTCTCCTTGGGAATTGCCTGCTACAAAAAACTGGATGAAAAGGTATTACAAGACAATACCTCTAACAGCTGTTTAAAGCATGCAAGTACTTTCACATCCTTATTTTTGGAGTATGCAAGCCTGTGTGTGTGACATATACCAATGTGATCATCTTATGGTACATTTGATTTATTATTTTCACTTTTATGTGTTTTTCAGGCAGCAGACACTTACCTTGTCCAGGTGTATAACCTCACCCTGTTGTGCTCAGAGGAGTACATCATAGAACCCCAGTCAGTCCAGTTTCTTGTGCAGCACGGATTTGACTTTAACAAACAGTACAGCCATGGTATCCCTTACTGCAAGGGGAACAGTAAGGTGATACACCCTGTGTTTTGTTGTTATGGCTCTTTGAGTTTTACTGCAACTTTGCTGCGTCCAGTTCATCTTGTTGTAAATGATCTTCCTCTGATTTGATCTGAGCTCTAAAAGTGTCTTTTTATGTTTCTTCTTTGTAAGGGAGTAGCAGATTATTGTGGTGTTCACATACGAGCGTTGTTCGTTGGACTGCTGCGTGCCAGGAAACCCCTGGTGTTACACAATGGCCTCATCGACATGGCCTTCCTATACCAGGTAGAGAATATTTACACACTGCCATTCCTATTATCTCACAGCTTCCACATTACTAGAAAATCTTTATTACTATGAATAACTGCTTGTTTTACAGTTTGAACATTGTATTTTTACAGCATGCCAAACACTTTTTTGAACTTTATAACATTTTTATTGTATTTTTTTCCTGTAAGAGTTTTTATGCTCAACTCCCTGAGCGCTTGGCCACCTTCACCGCCGACTTGTCTGAGATGTTTCCTGCTGGTCTTTATGACACCAAATACGTGACTGAGTTTGAGCTCCGACTGACAGCCTCTTATCTGGAGTATGCCTATAAGAAATGGTAAGTGTTGCTTTACAGGATGTTATTGTCTAGCTATTATATATTTTTTTGTCTCTTCATTTAATTTTTCTCTTCCCAGTAAGCTGGATAACAGTCGCAGTGTCACATCTGGTTCAACAAGTCCTCATGTTCACATTGAGTTTTGTCAGTATTCTGCTCACATGTCCACCTATGTGGACTACAGAGAGTGTCCAGCTGTAGATTCCTCAGAGGGACAATCTGACATCTGCCAGCGCTTCTCTGTGAGTTTCAAGTTCAAATTTCACTTCACTTCAGATGACTTCTGTTCTCACAACGAGTTCGTGCAAACTATCAACCAGAGCTGTGAAGACTTTAGATGACGTCTTCATTTTTGTTTTTCTGTCTGTGTGCCTGACAGGCTTTCGGCTGGTGTCCAAATGGCACCAAGTGTCTATTGTCCCACAATACAGACCTCATCGTTCTGCAGGATGAGAAGCACAAGGATGACAAGAAGAAGCGGAAGCGACGGAAAGCGAAAAAAAGAGGTAGAGAAGAGACGACAGAGGGGTCCTCCGCCTTTGACGGCGTCCCTGTAAACAAAATGCCAAACTTGGAAGTGGATAAAAAAGAAACGTCAAGCGATCAACAAGAAGCAGCTGCTGAGCCACTCCCAGACACCGCACCTCCGATGGACATGGATGGAAACAGCAAACAAGATCAAGGGCAGGATATGAAAACTGCTAGCGAGGGAAATGGAACGTGTGAAGACAAAGCAGATGTTGTAAACCCTGAAACAACGGCCGCAGCTGATGAAAACCGAACAGGAGCAGACGACAGGTCTGACGACGCTCAGAGGAAGAAGGCTGACACAGGAACACATCGGGCAGGGTTTGATGCCTACATGACAGGATATATCTTTGCCTTCTCTTGTGCTCTTCACAAGAAGGACGAGGTTAGGGCAGAAGGAGAAGAGGTGGAGCAGTCGTGGCACCCTAACTGTGTAAATAAAATCTATCTCAGTGGAAAGGCAGCTCCTCTCAATATAGTTAAAAGCACCTTCTCCAAATCTTCCAAGGCTCACGTCCAGAAGATGGAAATGGTGTGGGGTGGAAAAATATAAATTTTCTACTCGTTTTTTTATTTTTTTTTATTTTAATTTTTTTAATTTAATTTTTTTAATTTTTATTATGCATCAATAACTTTTGTGCTTGGGTACATTCAACAGAGTAAACATTATAATTTTGTATGACAGACTTGTCATAATATTAATAGGAAATCAGGCCTGACTGCCATTATTTCATCATTTAAATGAACACTTTTTATAATTTAATAAAAGTTAGAAAACTGCTCAATATTTTACTTTAAACATTTTTTTTGTACATTGAACAGTTTGGCGACGTTGGTCTTTTTAAATAGTTTTTTTTAAACCAAATAATTTAGAATAATTAGTACAAAATCTAGATTTACTGATAGATATTAATATTAAAGAATAGGAACACATCAGAGACGTCCGATCTTGTAACTGCCTTTACATTTGAACCATGGTGTTGTTTGGTGTTACCACAATGCAAATGTTTTTTCTGCTGTAACTGAATAAAAGCTTCCTAACAATTATTCTGTAGTCTGTATTCTTTGTGTGACTTTGGCTAGCTTTATTTAAGCTGTTAAACTGAACGACAATATGAATGTTTGTATAAGTTATGGTAAAGCTTGTAAATAAAATGAATGGCCATGATTACATTAAAACTTCTGCCATTAAATAAATGAAAAATGTTATATGCTTGTTAAACCACTGTTTTTGTAAAAGGGGAAAAAAATTGTAACCAAGGTTGAACAAATCACTAAAAATGTGTCTTGTTGGTGAAATTCAGTTCACGTTAAGTAATTTTAATATTTTAAACCATATTTTGATAAATTGTCCAAATACAATACTCGACACACTGGAGGAAACAACCAAACAAAAACGACCTAAGAATCTTAAAATGGTGAATCGACACTTTTCTGCAGTTGATTATTTTAAATGAAGCAAATAAGTCAGATGTCAGTTTTGGGTTCACTTCTGTTACGGGGTGGAAAACAGTGTTGGGGTTTCACCTGATGGGTGGACTCCAGTCAGCCATCAGGTGAAAACAGACCCAGACCAGTGGTCATTCCATATGTTGAGGGAGTTTCAGAGAAACTGAGACATTTATTTTCTAAACATAACGTCCCAGTGGCTTTTAAACCCCAAAATACATTACGACAAAGACTGGTTCATCCCGAAGATCCAGTCCCCCGGCACAAACAGAGTAATATTGTGTATGCTGTTCAGTGTCAGGAGGGTGATCAGTCTTATATCGGGGAAACAAAACAGCCACTGGCCAAAAGGATGGACCAGCACAGAAGATCAACATCATCAGGCCAGGACTCTGCGGTCTACACTCATCTCCAGGCCAGCGGTCACTCTTTCAGGGATGAAGATGTTCACATCCTGGACAGAGCGGAACGATGGTTTGAGAGAGGAGTAAAGGAGGCCATCTTTGTGAAAAGAAACCATCATTAAACAGGAGTGGAGGCCTCCATGTCCAACTCCTCTTACAATGCTGTTATTATCACTTAGCCCTCTGCGAATAGCAAGCAGCCATCAGGGTATTAACCACCAATAGTAAGGCTGATGGTCCATCATGTGAACAGCTAGTTCTGGATGTCAACAACAAACTGGTTGATCCACTATGAGAAGGTGCTATTTATTAGACTGAGTTTGTTGCAGCTCCTCAGACTGATGAAGCCTTTTGGATAAAAGACGAAATGTTTCAACAAGATTTTACTTTTTATTTTTTAATCTGTCCAGAGGACCTGACTTAACTTTTTTAGATGTTTCTACCTCGATTGTTGAGCATGCATCAGGATAAAGTGTTGGGGTCTTTGTTTATAAATGATGACATAAATAATTAATATTGAGCTTCTACTGTCCTTAGACCTTTTTCAAAAATAACATGTAATACAGTAATGTATAATTTCACATATAACTGTAACTAACAAAGTAACTATATGACTGATTGTGCCATTCAGGGCCCTGAGATAATTTCTGCTGTGACTTGGAGCTATATAAATAAACTGAATTTATTGAATTGATTTCTAGTGAGTGAAAACCACATAACACTTGAGCTATGGCGCCTTCTGTCCACTGGGGGCGCTGAATCTCCGTCAACCTGATGCAGCGTCCGCTCGATGGCGCACAGAAGAAGAGACGCTCGTCGCCTGCAGGGATTGTTGCGCCGCTGACTGTCAACGAAACTGTGACATTTGCACCCTAGAGCCATTTTCGTTCATTTCCTCTCGTTAGTTTCTTTAAATATAATTTTTTTTTTTTATTATTGTATACAACGAGTAAATGAAAGAGCGACAAGCGGTTCTATAATATTTAGAAAATGTCAGCCGATGAAATTGACTACAATGTTGTGTTTCCAGATGCGGGCACATCAGGTGAGCACCATTTCATTGTACAGCATGCGCAGCGTCACGTGCATGCTAACTTCGTTTAGTAATAGCGTTTATAAAGCGGTTATTATTATCAGTGTTAGCTTGGTCGTGTCAGCTGGCTGTGTGTCCTGCTAACGCCCTCCCGCGTTGTGTCCGCCTTGTTTTCAGAGAGACACTGGCAGGGGACAAAGGAGCCAGTTGTCATACTGTTGGGCTGGGCCGGGTGCAAAGACAAACATCTCTCCAAATACAGCTCCATCTACAACGAGCAGGTCAGAACCACAGGTGTCCTGCTGCTCACTGTGTCTGTCATCCATTCATGCAGAGCTGGCTGCTGACCTCATTTAGTCTCTTATTAGTCACTTCTGTCTTTGATTTCTTCCCCTCCAGGGCTGTGTCACCATCCGCTACACAGCTCCCCTGAAGACCGTCTTCATCTCTGAGTCGTTCGGCTACAAGGAGCTGAGCAGCACCGCACTCAAGCTGCTGGAGATCCTCTACGACTACGAAGTGGAGAACAGTCCCGTTTTCTTTCACATCTTCAGTAACGGCGGCTTCATGCTGTACCGATACATCATTGAACTGCTGCACAGTGACAAACAGTTCAGCTCACTGTGCGTGGTCGGGGCTGTGGTAGACAGTGCTCCAGGTAGTGGGAACATCCGCGGGTCTCTGCGTGCGCTGACAGCTACTTTGGGGCCAAAAATAAGCCCTCTTTTGAGGTATGTCCTCCTAGCGCTGTTTGCAGTGAGTGTTTTCCTTCTGCGAGTTGTGCTATACCCTCTGACGAAATACATTCACAAAAACCACTATGATGCTGTGCAGGACAGGCCGCCCGCCTGGCCCCATCTGCACTTGTACTCCAGAGCTGACCTTGTGATCAGGTACTGGGACATAGAGCGTTTCATGGAGACCGTGAAGAAGAAAGGTGTCTCTGTGGACGGTTATGATTTTGTTTCCAGTTCCCATGTTTGTCATTTCCGGGATTTTCCAGAGCAGTACACCCGCAAGTGCTGCAGTTTTCTGTCTGCTTGCATGAAAGACTCAGAGGGAATGGAAAAAATAAAAAAGAGACACCATCTTCAAAGTCAGTGAGACTTGAGGAAAACGATTATACGATGTTAACTGTTAACATTTCTGACACTACTGCAAGATTGAAGTTTAACGGTCCAGTGCACTGAAAGAGAAGGTTCCACTTGTGCAGTGATACTGAGCCACACTCAGTTTGTAAAACCCAGCACACACTGGAACACGCGTTGCTGAAGTTTGTAAGTTAAAAAGCTGAACTGTTCTTCCTCGAATGCTTTTCTAACAGTCTTCACCCGTAAGACTATGTCAGGAGAGACCACACAAACAGTTGCTATACACTGGAGAACTTGGATGTAATTTTTAAAGACTGATTTAGTGCTGTGAAACGTGATACATTGTAGATTAGATGTAGTGAATCTAAGACAAGATGCAACTGTATGTTTTGTTTTATAAAATGTAACTCATAATTTGTTACTAAAATAATATTACAAAGGTAAAATGAAGGTAATTGTCACATATTGAAGTAATTTATCTGTTACTGTCACTAATAGAGGCTTCAAAGTTGTTGCCTTATAGAAAAATCTTTCACAGTTGTGTTTTAGGTTTGAAATCTTATAGACCTAATGTGTGATAAAAGTAAATTTAGTCTGAAAAAGCAAGTTGCGTGATAAAGAATGTATGTGTCGAGCACAACTACCGGTAATTTATTCTTTTTAACTGATGTGCCTTCAATAAACCAGAATAATTCCTAACATCTATCGTTGACTGCTTTTGTATTTAGATACAGACTGTTTCCAAAATATTTGAATATCATGGAAAAGTTGTTTAACTTCCATAATTCCATTCAAAAAGTTAATCTTTAATAGATGATAGATTCAGGGCACACAATTTTAAACCATTTCAAGTATTTATTTGTTTATTTTTACATAATTTGTGCTTGCAGGTCACGGAACCCACAAAAACAAGATTTAAAAAAAAAAAAAAAGAATATTGTGGAGAAATCAGCCCAAATGTTGCAGGGTATGAATGTTTTAAACTGAGTGTGACACACTAATCATCTCCGAAGCTCAAAGCACCTGCACAGGTTTCCCCAGGTGTCATTAAATTGCTTCAGTTTGGTTCAATTGTCTCAGTTCGGTCCAATATGGGGAAGACTGCAGACATAACTGGCTTGAAGACCATCATTGATACCCTCCATGGGATGAGTAAGTCACAAAAGTTCATAGCTAAGGAGGCTGGCTGTTCACAGAGCGCTGTGTCCAAGTATGTCAATGGAAAGTCTAATGGAAGGGCAAAATGTGGCAGGAGAAGTTGCACCAGCAAAAGAGATGACTGTGGGCTTCAGCGGATTATCAAACAGAGAAGATTACAGAATCTGGCAGAGATCCAGAAAGAGTGGAATGAGGTGGGAGTCACAACTTCAAAAACCACCACATTCAGACACATCCGGGAGATGGGCTACAACTGTCGGGTTCCTCAGGTCAAGCGTCTCACCTGCTTCAAGGAGAAGAAGGGCTGGACCATTGGTCAGTGGTCCAAGGTCCTCTTTTCCAATGAAAGTAAAGTGTGCCTTTCATTCGGAAATCAAGGTCCAAGGGTTTGGAGGAAGAAGGTTGAGGAACAGAACCCATACTGCTTGAGGTCCAGTGTGAAATATCCACAGTCAGTCATGATTTGGGGTGCAATGTGCAGGTGTTGGTAAACTCTGCTTTCTTAAATCCAAGGTCACCACAACAGTCTACCAGAATGTTTTAGAGGACTTCATGATTCTTTCTGCTGAGGATCTGTATGGAGATGCAGATTTCATCTTCCAGCAGGACCTGGCCCCTGCCCATGCCACCAGAAGCACCAAAACCTGGTTTAATGCCCATACCACAGTGCTTCACTGGCCAGCCAACTCGCCGGACCTAAACCCCATTGAGAATTTATGGGGTATTCTCAAGAGGAAAATGAGGAGCACCAGACCCAACAACAAAGAAGAGCTGACAGCAAGCATCAAGGAAATCTGGGCTTCCATAACTCCCAGTCAATGACACAGGCTGATTGCCTCCATGCCACATCACATCGATGCAGTGATTAAGGCAAAGGGATTCACAACCAAGTACTGAAGTTTGACATATCATTTTGAAAGTACCATATTTTGATTGGTTTGTTGTGATTCTAATTTCTTGCTTTTTTCCTGCAAAAACTGAGAAGTAGTGTGGCCTGATGTTTTCACAGTATTCTAATTTTTTGAATTTCTGTTTTCGTGGGTTTGATGAGCTGGAAGCCCAAATTATGCATACCTTATATACAAACCAGATTCCAAAAAAGTTGGAGCACTAAACAAATTCTGAATAAAAACTGAATGCAACGATGTGGAGATGGCAAATGTCAATATTTTATTTGCAATAAAACATAGATGACAGATCAATAGTTTAATCTGAGTAAATGTAACATTTTAAAGGAAAAATATGTTGATTCAAAATTTCACAGTGTCAACTAATCCCAAAAAAGTTGGGACAAGTACAAACCGGATTCCAAAAAAAATTGGGACACTAAACAAATTGTGAATAAAAACTGAATGCAATGATGTGGAGGTGTCAACATCTAATATTTTATTCAGAATAGAACACAAATCACAGATCAAAAGTTTAAACTGAGAGAATGTATCATTTAAAGGGAAAAATCTGTTGTTTCCAAATTTCATGGCGCCAACAAATTCCAAAAAAAGTTGGGACAAGTCCATCTTTACCACTGTGTGGCATCCCCCCTTCTTCTTACAACACTCAACAGACGTCTGGGGACAGAGGAGACCAGTTTCTCAAGTTTAGAAATAGGAATGCTCTCCCATTCATGTCTAATACAGGCCTCTAACTGTTCAATCGTCTTGGGCCTTCTTTGTCGCACCTTCCTCTTTATGATGCACCAAATGTTCTCTATAAGTGAAAGATCTGGACTGCAGGCTGGCCATTTCAGTACCCGGATCCTTCTCCTACGTAGCCATGATGTTGTGATTGCTGCAGAATGTGGTCTGGCATTATCGTGTTGAAAAATGCAGTGTCTTCCCTGAAAGAGATGACGTCTAGATGGGAGCATATGTTGTTCTAGAACCTGAACATAGTTCTCTGCATTAATGGTGCCTTTCCAGACATGCAAGCTACCCATGCCACAAGCGCTCATGCAACCCCATACCATCAGTGATGCAGGCTTCTGAACGGAGCGTTGATAACAACTTGGGCTGTCCTTGTCCTCTCTGGTCCAGATGACATGGCGTACCAGTGTTCCATAAAGAACTTCAAATCGTGACTCATCTGACCACAGAACAGTCTTCCATTTTGCCACACTCCATTTTAAATGACCCCTGGCCCAGTGCAAACGTCTGAGCTTGTGGAGCTTGCTTAGAAATGGCTTCCTCTTTGCACTGTAGAGTTTCAGCTGGCAACGGCGGATGGCACGGTGGATTGTGTTCACTGACAATGCTTTCTGGAAGTATTCCTGAGCCCATTCTGTTATTTCCTTGACAGTGGCATTCCTGTTTGAGGTGCAGTGACGTTTAAGGGCCCGGAGATCACGAGCATCCAGTAGAGTTTTACGGCCTTGAACCTTACGCACAGCGATTGTTCCAGATTCTCTGAATCTTTTGATGATGTTATGCACGGTTTATGATGATAACTTAAAAGTCTTTGCTATTTTACGCTGGGTAACACCATTCTGGTATTGCTGCACTATCTTTCTGTGCAACAATGGTGGAATTGATGATCCTCTTACCATCTTGGCTTCTGAGAGACACTGATACTCTGAGAAGCTCTTTTTATACCCAATCATGTTGTCAGTTGACCTAATTAGTGTTAATTGGTTTTCCAGCTTTTCGTTATATGCTCAATTTCCTTTTTCCAGCCACTTATTGCTACTTGTCCCAACTTTTTTGGGATTTGTTGACACTGAAATTTTGAATCAACATATTTTTCCTTTAAAATGTTACATTTACTCAGATTAAACTTTTGATCTGTCATCTATGTTATATTACGAATAAAATATTGACATTTGCCATCTCCACATCATTGCATTCAGTTTTTATTCTCAATTTGTTTAGTGTCACAACTTTTTTGGAATCCGGTTTGTAGCAATAAGTTAGAGGCATAAAGAGGAAACTGAGCTGTAAGGCAAAGCTCTCTGTTTACCAGCCGAGCTATGTTCCTAGCCTCATCTATGGCCACGAGCTCTGGGTAATGACTGAAAGAACGGGATCGCAGATACAGACGATTGAAGTTAGTTTACTCTGCAGGGTAGCTGGACTCTCTCTCAGAGATAGGGTGAGAAGTTCAGTTATCAGGGAGAAACTCAGCGAAGAACCGCTGCTTCTCCACATTGAGAGGAGCCAGTTGAGGTGGTTCAGGTATCTGGTAAGGATGCTCCTTGGGTGCCTCTCTAGGGAGGTGCCTCGGGCATGTCCAACTGGGAGGAGACTCCAGGGAAGACCCAGGACACGCCGGAGAGACTGTTTCTTGGTTGGCCTGGGAACACCTTGAATTCCTCACAGAAGAGCTGGCTTTGCAAAAAGATATCTTGGCCTCCCTGTTTAATATGCTGTCCCCGTGAACCAACTTTGAAACAAGCTAATGGATGGCTGGCTAGATGTGTATGTCCACTTTTCAGAACAGGAAAGCCATTTTAGGAACTGTATAGTTCAGTTTTAACCGGTTCACTTACTCAAGAATAGAAGGCCTGACTGCTTTATAAAAAGATTTTAGCACTCGAGGGCTAAGTGAAGGGAGGGTATAACTTAAAATTCAATCACTTCACCTGCTCTCTTCACGAGGGGATAGTTTGAGCTGCGTGCTCTGGAATGGCTCAGCATGGATGGTTGCTGAATGTCTCCACATGTCAAACTTGACATTTGGAAGAGCGAACGCTTGGCATTTGTCTCTGTGCCATGCTCTGGCCCCGGCACTTCATGTATCATGAAGAGCTGCTCGGAGGAAAGTTTACATATTGGCATCGACAGATGAACATTGCTCATACTCTGGAATACGTGAGACGAACTGTAGTTCTTTTGTTTGCTATATCCTCTATGCTAATGGTAGTCCAGGTTTTTGTTACTCTTATTTTATCATTCTAATCTGATACTTTATGCTATTTTTTAAGGATGTGTTGTTTCTTTATATTTATGCAAAGTCCACTTAGTTGTAGCAATTAAAGAAAGGCATTAAAAGTTTATACAATATATTTACATCAATGCAATTTTTACTCAGCACATTTAGAAACATGACTCAACAAAACTTTTACAACTAATTCACACATTAATATAAGAAAACAGAATATAAATTCAAATGCAAAATACTGTATATTAAGAAATACAGTAATAAAATTTGAAAAACGAAAACAAAATACATAAAAGTATACCAAGTGAAGTCTCATGCTCTATCTAATAAATAAATAAATAAATAAATAAATAAATAAATAAATAAATAAAATAATAATCAGGGTTTTATATAAACATTTGTATATTTTTACCATGTGTCCATTGCATTTCTGGAGATTTAAACTTTCAAACATTTGGTTCAGTTCCTTTTTTTTATATACAATTCTTATAAAAGTTTTACTTCTTTTCATACAATTCTTAAAAGTGGCTCAAGCATGTCAAACAGAAAATGCACCTTTTATTTCTTCTTTAAATTTGTCTTTAAGTTTAAGCAAACATATTCTTGTTGTGTAAATACAATTTTGTCATTCTGAAAAAGTAAAAAAAAAAAGGAAAATAGAC